GCAATAATTGAGGTTCGAACTACAGTCAAATAAATATCCCCTGTGCAGAGATCTGATCTAAAACATGCCTCTGGATGGAGAACGTTAACTCTGACCACTCTGGGCAGGAATGCAAACAAAATCCCATTGTGCCCCCCCCCCCCCCCATAATTAATCACTCAGGATGCTAAGTACAGTAAGCCACAACAACCAATCACAATTTACTAGTCAAAAATTAGACTAGTAGATGAATCCTGATTGGTTGCTATGGGTCATGCACTTTTCACAGAACATGCAGTACTCACCCTGACAGTTCCTTTATCTACTTTACCCTCCAGAATGACAGTGCCATCTTTATTTAGGCATCATCCAGGGTCACCATCCACTTCCTGGACTGAAATCCTGGCTCCAAGATGACACAGTCATATAAATTCTGGTGCCTGTGCAGTTCTTGCTCACAAATGTCTGATGCAGATCAGCTCAGGGGCGGACTGACAACTCATGGGGCCCCCAGGGAATAGGTGATCATGGGGCCCCTGTGTCCTTGCCCAAACTCAAAAAAGCCCATGAAAAAGGTACCAGGGGCATCTCATGGGGCCCCCTACTGACCCCGGGCCCTCGGGCAGTGCCCGAGTTTCCAAATGGTCAGTCCGCCCCTGCCATCAAGCAGCCCACAGCCTCTCTCAGATCTCACCTGGTCCCTATTCTGCATATGTCCTTCTTCCAGGGGGCAGTGCTGCCCCCCTAAAAAATGCTGCCCTAGGCAAATGCCTTGTTTACCTTGTGGTAAATACGCCCCTGCCGGGGGCCACGACACACGGGTATACTATTCCTTCAGAGCGCATGCTCTAAAGAAGAGAGAATATCTCTAAACGGTGCACATTTAGGAGGTATTCATTTTACCTACAGATAAACGTTATTATAAGCTTCCCTGTAGGTAAAAGTTTCAAATATGAGTTTACTGCCACTTTAACATTTACAGCAGGTGTGATGTGTTCTCTTGCAGAGCAGTAATGAATTAATGTGCTGGATGGAAACAGCTTTCATAGATGTAAAATGATAGTTCGTTCAAGCATACTATAGGGGGTGACTGTGGTTACAGTTGTGTCATGGACGCATATGAGCTAAGCTTTCTATTTATCTTATTAGTATTTGCCTGGAATTCTTTATCTTTTTTTTAAATAACCTCATATTTATAATAATGATTCTGTATTGCTGTTCTTACCAAGGCACTGATATTTTTGGCAGCAGCATATGTTCCCCATGGCACATTCCCCATCGAAGGTGTTAACTGTGCCCTCTTGAATGAAGCTTCCTTGGAAACCGCGACATGTGCTTGTTGACACTCCGCTATCTATTTCAGAATCCCGCCCAATCAGTGACACCCTTTGATGGTGACAGAGGAGAACGGGTGTTATTTCTGTGTCGCCTATTTTTAGCTCAGACATAATAACAATGTAATTGATAAAGAAATGGATTGTGCTAGGGTTAGAAATATCTCATCTCATCTACTCTGAATTGTGTTTCAGGTTCATTGATAAAGCTGACGGCAGAATTTATTTTCTGCTATAATGTGGATACACTTGTCACATACTGTCACTCTCCTATAAAAGATTTTTAATGGGTGGGGGAGGGGTCTCATATGAAAACAGCGAGAAACAGGATTTGTGTCTACACATATGTTGAAGCAGATGAATAGTAACAGGTTTTACAGGGGAGAATAGAAGGGGCTTGATTAGGGCAGCAGAACCAGCAACAGTGATTATTATTAATGAGCAATAAATTCGATTTTTTTTTATTTCTCATGAAATGTTGGTGAAAATTGCCAACTGTTAGGCTGCTGGGTGCAAAGACTGGAAAATATGGTTGAAATTTGGGGTTTGCACGTGGATGTGGGCTCTTCTATTGCCACCACGTGACCTCACTGGCTTCCTGTGTGTCTATTGGCCAATCCCTACTCACATGGAAAAAAAAAATATTAAATATATTTTAAAAATATTGTTCCCAAAAAATATTGATATATATATTTGAAATGCTACAATTTTGGCCATATTCAATATATTTCAATACATATATATATATTCTGCATGTTGAAATGCATTTTTTTATATATTACAAAATGTATGAAAAATATTATTAAAAATATATTTTTTAAAATATTTTCTTCAGATTTTTTTTTAACATATAAAAAAGTCATTTTAACATATATTTTAAAATATATTTGTAAATTCCAAAAATGTAGATTTGTATTTTTGAAGACATACAGCATATTTGAAATGTATTTTTAAAAATATTTTTTCATATATTTTGTAAAAAAAAACGCATTTCAACATGTAGTATATATATATATTATATGGAAATATATTTTGAAATATAATATTTTAATATATTTTAATATTTTATAATATTTTGAATATGCCCAAAATTGTAGCCTTTCAAATATATGTCAATATAGTTGGGAAGAATATTTTTAAAATATATTTCAAATATATTTTTCTTCTATATGGGGATAAACTATTACTAAACCCAGGACCCTTCATCCACTCTATCTGGTCTTCCACAGTACACAGAGCATGGAAATGTAATTATTTTAGTAAATATAAAGTGCTAAATACCTTTTCTCATCAGCAGTTAGAGCAGTCTTGAGACTTCTATCAATGTCCAGCAGAGCACTGGTTAAAGCTTGTAGGAGGAGTCTTCATTTTGCTCTAGGTCTAGAAGGATGCAGAACTCATGACCTCTGTCTGGACAGTACTGATTGGCCCTGTGCTTATCACATGCACTTTCCAAAGAAAAAAAAAAAACCCTCTATAGCAATACACACCATACTGAGCATGTGCAGAGTGATTCCACACAATATGTCTTATCAGGGGATAAGAGGGGGACAGTGGAAGAAGGGGAGGATCAGACAGGTCAGGATCAAAGCGTTTTTACACAATGCAGAGGATTAACTCCTTAGGTTCCATAAGTGAGTATAACAAGCTTGCATTACTGCATATACAGACTGATTTGACTGTTGTGGGTTTAGTAACACTTTAAAGCTGAACCCCAGAGAAAAATTAAAACTCCCCTTACAGTAAACAGTAGTTTTTACTGACCTTATCCCTCCTCCACATGCAACTCTTCTCACTCACACTCTGATGTCATTATGTACAATGCAGCACCAGCAGTCCTACGTTGTAAGTGAGGACACCAAGGGCCCTCCCATACCCTGTTGAAAGAGTGAGGGATAAGGTAAGTAAAAACTACATTTAAAGGTACCCTGAACAAAAACAAGCATTTACCCCTGCAGTGATTGGGGAGTCCCTCTGTAATGGTAGTTTTAATTTTCCCTGGAGTTCAGCTTTAAAGCAGTATTAAACCCAAATGCAACATTTATTATATTGCAACTTACCAATTCTTAGTCCTCATGCACACTGGACATTTTTACAGCTGCTGTTTTTGGCTTTTTACATTTTTTTCTACAGCCAGTAAACTCCCCAGCATGTTATCCTATGTGTCCATGCACACATAGACTGTAATCAATGTTTTTTGGCTGGGAAAAAAATCCAGAACTAGTGAATTTCTAGAGGAGTTTTTTCATCTGTAAAAATGCTCTAACACTGAAAAACACTGAAAAACGTGGTAAAACACCGCAAACCGGCATTTTGGAGGTTTTTTTTTACCCCACCCAATTTTTTTTCTGTTAAAAAAACCACTAAAAACGCAAATGTGGGAAAACGCCGCTAAATGCTAATGCAAAAAAGCTGAAAAAACTCACGTTTTGAATGTGACTTTACACAGCTAACGTTAATAGTGTTATGAAAACGTCCGTTGTGCATGGAGCCTTAGATGTGATGGCTGAATCTGTTTTCTTTTTTAGGCTTTTACTTTCATCCAGTGATCCAGCACGTAAGTCTGTTGTTATTCAAAAGAAGAAGCTCACTTGCAGTTACAGAGGTGAGACCGAACATGTACCACTGACAGGGAGCTTACAATCATTGTAATTTATTTATTCATGTAAAACATTTATCTCAAAAGGAAAAAATCTGTTTGCAGTAACTGAATATAAAATGTGAGCTGGAGTTTGGCTTCAATTTCTTAATGTATCTAAATCTGCTAGTACATCTAACACTATCCCTCCCTGCAGACTGGTGATGCTGTTGTTCAAAAGTGCCCCTGTGCTCCCTTATCCAGAGTGGGGGCACTCTAATACATGAGATGTGTTACTGGACAGATCGGCATGTAGGCAGGTGCAGTATATTTTTTCTCCACTGTAGGTGGCGCTCAAACCAAGTGCTACCACAGCCTGAAGAGGAAGTCCTATGAAAAATTGGTTTCTCTATAGCTTTCTGGGTCAATCTGGGCAGTGTTCTGGTTGGCTACGTGGCAGCCATGTGACCCTTGGCAGCCATCTTGGGTCAGGAGGGTCTCATTAAGCCCCTGCCCCCGGGTTTTGGCTGGCATTTTGCAAGTGGTTAGTGTAGGGACAGAGAACCTGCCTGTCAGGGACAGCAACTAGCGGAACCTGCCTGTCAGGGACAGGTTCCTGACAAGGAGGGAAAGGCTAAAGACTGTCAGAAGTCTCCCCTCATGGGACCAGACTGGCCAGGCCAAACTTCATCTTCTAAACAGGCACTGTCGGCAACTCACCTTATCTGCACAGGGGTGGACTGACCAGTCGAGCACTCGGACACTGCCCGAGGGCCCAGGGTCAGTAGGGGCCCCATGAAATGCCCCTGGTACCTTTTTTATAGGCTTTTTGACTGTGGACCCCATGAGTTGTCAGTCCGCCCCTGTATCTGCATGTGTGACTTCATTGAACTGTGGGTTATTTCCCTATCCCCCCCAGTAGAGTGTTTGTAACATTGCCATTATACTTAAAGGATAAGTTCACCTTTTGAACATGTTACATGTTCCACCCATTTGTTGGGTGGAACACAGGGGCGGACTGACCCTTCGAGCACTCGGGCACTGCCCGAGGGCCCGGGGTCAGTAGGGAGCCCCATGAGATGCTCCTGTTACCTTTCATTGGCTTTTTCATAGGCTTTTTTGGGTGTGGGCGAGGACACAAGGGCCCCATGATCCCCTATTGCCCGGGGGCCCCATGAGTTGTCAGTCCACCCCTGGTGGAACATATAACATGTTCCCATAGCTGCAGTTGCCGCCCTCCTCGCTCTGACAGATAGTACGGGGAGAAGTCTCCCAGTACTATCTGTGAGATTTGAAAATAGCGTGGTGGCGTGGGGCACCACCAACACGGCCGCATCATTCATTCACAGAGTTCATTCATAAGTGCCTACAAGTCCCAGCAGCCTTAGTGGCTGTCAGCTTGTAGTTCATGGGCCGTGGTAGATCATTCAAGCTTCCTGTCAGAATATCTGCTTCACTGTACATCTTATGGTTCTATGTGAATGGTATTATGGTTTTGCACAGGTAGTAATTCAGCTCGGAGGAAATCCGTCATACCCTTTTTCTAATTTACATTTTCTTGCAAGTGAAAAAAAATATTGTTTATGGAAAGCTAATAAACATTAGAAAATATTCAAATGAACAAACGAAACCAGCGCTCAAATCTTCATGCAGACTAAGATAACTGAAACTGTCATTCATAGAGGTGCAGCCCTTAAAGATCGGGAAATCTTGATACTGGTGAACAAAAGCAAAACAGGGCGCACTCTCTTAGTGCATTAACGTAGTAAACCATGAATTTATTAGGAAGCATAAAAATGCATATTCACAAACCACGGGGGATAAAAACAGACAAGAAGAGTCCGTAATGACAGTCCAAAGTGACGATAGACCCTTGGTGAGGTAATCAGAGCTCTGATGAAGGGAGTTTGTCTTCCGAAACGCGTTAGCTTACCTTACTAATGGTCTATCGTCACTTTAGAGTGTTATTATGGACTCTACTTGTCTGTTTGTATCCCCCTTTGGTTGTGAGTATGCATTTTTATGCTTTATAATAAATTCTTGGTTTACTACGTTAATGCACAAAGAGAGTGCGCCCTGTTTTGCTTTTGTTCATTAGAAAATATTCGAGTGACAGCTTTGAGTCTGCTGGGGCTGCTGACATAGCATCCAAGATGGCGGCACTCAGCAGCAGTCTCCGGGCTTTTGAATGTCTACACAAGGAAGGCTTTTACAGGCAAATAACATAATACATTAAATGCACCTATAATTTTATGGGAAGTTTTTCATTTTTTTTAAACGAATGGTCTCGCAATGTGGTCTTTTTAAAACACACTGTGTTTGAGCTACATTCATTCACTAGGTATAGGTGACAGGTACTCTTGAGACAGAAGTAAAGCAGTCTTGATGTTACAGTCACTTTGTAAAACATTTCTTTTATCCAGAAAAAACCTTTTTTTTTTTTATATCTGATTTTTTTTTACTACAAAGTCCGTGAGAAGCTTTGCCTGTTTGATGACAAACTGAACATAGACACTTCACAGAAGGATTCTGGTGGAGTGAAACCGCTATGACTTCCTAGCTCAGTCTCTGTGTATAAAGTTTGAGCGACTCTGGAATAAAATCTATGTATGAATTCAGACAAATGCACATGGTTCATTGTGCTAATATTGCTAAGCTTCATAACTTTCACCTAATTTTATACAGCCCATATAATTGTCGCACCCCCTCCTCCTGTTGATTTAGGCCCTCTATAGCCCTGCACAGCCAGGCAATCTGAATTCTCCACACAAGTTTGCATTCAAAGTCAGAAAGTAGTCCTTGAGCTTTTGTTTTGTTGTTTATTGAGGGTATTTAGAACTGAGATAGGGTAATGGGGGTATAGGATGCCCAAGGGAACCGACAACTGAGGATAAACTTCCTAGAACTATTCACAAGCTGCTCTGCAGCACAGTCTCTATTGGAGAGCTAGCAAGTGTCTCCACAATGTACCACCTCAGACCCTAGATGAAATTCTCCTCTTCATCTAGCAATCTGGAGGTTTTCCTGATTAGGGGATCTGGCTCCTATCTCTTTAAATGGATGAACAGTCATTACTAGAGGGCTAGTCTGGTTTCCCACCAGAGTGCTCCTTCCCCTATCTGCCCAGGGGGTGCAGGCTAGATGAAATTCTCCTCTTCATCCAGAAATCTGGAGGTTTTTGCTGATTAGGGGATTTGACTCCTGTCTCTTTAAATGGGTGAACAGTCACTAGTAGAGGGCTAGTCTAGTTTCCCACCAGACTGCTCCTTCCCCTATATGCCCAGGGGGTGCAGGCTAGATGAAATTCTCCTCTTCATCCAGCAATCTGGAGGTTTTTTTTGCTGATTAGGGGATTTGGCTCCTTTCTCTTTAAATGGGTGAACAGTCACTAGTAGAGGGCTAGTCTGGTTTCCCACCAGAGTGCTCCTTCTCCGATCTGCCCAGGGGGTGCAGGTGTACTCACTCAGATCCTCTCCTCTACCGCTTGTGGGTTGGCTGCTGCTGCCAGGCATATCAGCTGGGCTGCTCCTTCCCTGTCATACAGGTGGTCCTCTCTCAGGGGGCCAATGAGCTCCAGGTTTGCAGGAAGGCCCCATCCCACTAGGCCTCCTGGCAGCCTTCTTCCTCTGCCTCACATCTTCCTCTCCACACTCCTCTCCTACACTTTTAAAGGAGTCAAAGCCCCTTGCCAAGCCCTCCTTTGGGGATTGGCTGAGGTCCCTTAAGAGTGCAGCCAGCCATTCCTGAGATCCACCCACTGTCTCCAAGGCCCTCCTCCAAAAGCCTCAGAGCAGGGGGAAATTCGTGAGGGGCCGACCTGAAAAGCCTCTCAGCCCTGACCACAATATGAACCCTCTGGCTAATACACCTGAGCTGCTATTCAGCTCCTGTCTAACCATTAGGATCTAGCTTGTCCTAGCTAGACTAGGAGGGTGCTACTTAATTATAGATGCTCAACTGAAGGTGAAAGAAAATATGATGTAAACCTGTCCCGAACCTTGACAATTTAAATAAAGATGATGCAAAAAATATATAATTGCAGATTTTATTCAGGGCACTACATGTAAAAAAAAATTAGCAATAGAGGCAGCTGAAGTTATAATCCGATCTTGAAATTTCCTGCAAAGGTTGGGATTCTCTCTTCCTGCCTCCTGAGCATCCCTACTGGTCATGTCATGCAATATACTACTTCACTGGCCAATGAGGGAAGCCTGGGAGATGGGTGGCAACAAAGTCATGAGTTACATATAACTTCAGCTGCCTAAATCTCTGAACTTTCTGGTCATTTTGACATGCAGGGGTGGATTTACTAAAACTGGAGCACTCAGAATCTTGTGCAGCTGTGCATGTTAGCCAGTTAGCAGCTAACTTCAGCTTGTTCAATTGAAGCAATTCTAAAGGTTAATTTTTGTTTTCCTGAAAATAACAAACATGTTATACTTACCTACTGTGTGCAGTAGTTTTGCACAAAGCAGCCTGGATCCTCTTCTTCTCGGGTCCCCCGCAGGCTCTTCTGGCCCCTCGCTCCTGTCGGGTGCCCCCACAGCAAGCAGTTTGTACTGTGTCTGCAGTCTCTGGTCATCTCCTTGTACTGTGTCTGCAGTCTCTGGTCATCTCCTGTACTGTGTCCGCAGTCTCTGGTCATCTCCTGTAGTAAGTACGCAGTCTCTGGTCATCTCCTGTACTGTGTCCGCAGTCTCTGGTCATCTCCTGTACTGTGTCCGCAGTCTCTAGTCGTCCCCTGTACTGTGCCCGCAGTCTCTGGTCATCTCCTGTACTGTGTCCACAGTCTCTGGTCATCTCCAGTAGTATGTCAGCAGTCTCTGGTCATCTCCTGTACTATGTCCGCAGTCTCTGGTCATCTCCTGTACTATGTCCGCAGTCTCTGGTCATCTCCTGTACTATGTCTGCAGTCTCTGGTCATCTCCTGTACTATGTCTGCAGTCTCTGGTCATTATTATTATACAGGATTTGTATAGCGCCAACAGTTTGCTCAGCGCTTTACAATATAATGGAAAACAATACAGCAACAATACAGTTCAATACAAGAGGGATAGGAGGACCCTGCTCCTTGGAGTTTACAATCTAGGAGGGAGGGGCTAGTGGTACAAAACTCTGGGGGATGGACTGGTTGAAAGAGTAGAAGATTCCATTATTAGCTGAGGGCAGGATAGGCTTCCCTGAAGAGATATGTTTTCAGAGATTGCCTAAAAGTGAGCAGAGTAGGCGATAGTCTGATAAATTGGGATAGAGAGTTCCAGAGGATGGGGGAAACTCTGCAGAAGTCCTGGAGATGAGCATGGGAGGAGGAGACAAGGGAGCTAGAGAGTAGGAGGTCTTGCGAGGAGCGGAGAGTACAGTTTGGGTGGTATTTGGAGACAAGATCGGTGATGTAATTTGGGGCAGAGTTATAAATGGCTTTATATGTTATTGTTAATGTTTTTAATGTTATCCGTTGGGCAATTGGAAGCCAGTGGAGACATTGGCAGAGGGGGGGTGGCAGATACAGAATGGTTAGTAAGGTGGATGAGTCTGGCAGCAGCATTCATGATAGACTGAAGAGGGGATAGCCTGCGATTAGATAGGCCAATGAGGATGGAATTACAATAGTCAAGGTGAGATATAACCAGGGAGACCAGGGAGCAAATAAGTTGCTTAGTGGTTTCCGTGGTTAGGAATGGGTGTATCTTGGAGATGTTGCGGAGGTGAAGTCTACAAAGTTTGGACAGTGATTGGATTTGGGACTGAAAGGACAGATGGAAGTCTAGGATTACACCTAGTACCCTGGCATGAGGGGAGGTACTGATGATTGTGTTATTGATTTTGATGGAGAAGTCAGGGGAGGGGGTACGGGCTGGGGGGAATACTAAGAGCTCAGTTTTGGAAAGATTGAGTTTGAGGAAGTGGAGTGACATCCATGCCGATATGTCACTCAGTAGGTTAGTAATGTGAGAGGATACTGAAGGGGTGAGGTGAGGGGTAGAAAGATAGATTTGTGTGTCATCAGCATAGAGATGGTACTTAAAACCATGGGAGTTTATGAAGTGACCAAGGGAGGAGGTGTAGATGGAGAACAGAAGGGGTCCAAGGACAAACCCTTGAGGGACCCCTACAGAAAGAGGGAGTGAAGAGGAGGAGGCAGTGTTATAGGTAATGCTGAAGGAGCGCTGCGATAGGTAGGAGGAGAACCAGGAGG